GTGAGTGAGTCTTGCAAATGATACTGTATACATCGCTTGTAAGTCATCGCTGCAGCTCAAACTGCATCGAAGCATCTCGACTCACAAAATTGATAATACCAGCTTCCGGCTCGTAGTCAGAATGCCAACTTGTCCAAAAGTTGTCTATGCCGCCTTCAGATTCACAAAGCCGGGGCTCTCCCGCAAACACGTCGTTCCATGGGACTGCCCTGACCGCTGCCTTGCAACAGTCGTACATCAATGGCGGCAGGGGCACTCTTGGGCTATCAAAATCGTATGTCTTTGAGGTCCACTGCCGCAAGAAGAAGCATGTCAAGAAGTACATCAGCTCACAAGCCGCAGTGTAGAAGTCTAGTCCGACTCTTTAAACTGACGTCATACGTCCAGCCAATCGTGGTCCATCTCAGCTTTGGCAGCAGTTCGGCCACAGTTACGTCCCGTCTGTCGCATTGTTCGGGCGCAGCAGAGGAGCTTCGGCTACTACTTGGATCAGTTGCGCTCTTATGTTCCAAGTCTTTTCCCCTGTCCTTGAGCTGATTCCAATTTTCTTTTGTGACAGGCTCAAAATTGTTCTGTTCTCGCTTGAGGACAGTCTCGCGGACTTTGTCCTTGCGCTCGACCTCGAGATCACGTTTGCCGCATTCCCATGCATTCCAAATACCTTCTTCGGGTAGTTCGTAGTGAGCTGCAAGCGACGTGACATTTGGCGACAGAGAAGACCGCAGACTTTCGATCGTGAGACTTCGCTGAAGCTCAGGCGGCAGGATTCTCGGCAGCAAGACAAGCCCTGCGGACGAAACGGGTCGAATCAGCTCCGCTTGAGGATCCCGTATCTAAGAGTACCGACCTGGGATAGCCGGCACGACGATGGCAAAGTCAATGGGTTCATCGCTTTTGGCCTTGCCCTTCCACCTCGTCTGTCCTATTTGTGCGGCTGCCAAATCATCCATCGGTACTCTCCAACATTCTAGAATGTGGCCGTCATCTTGCCATGTTCCTCGCTGTTTGCCAGAAGGGCTGCAGCGAGGATCCCATTCGATTGCTGAAACTGTCAATGCACGGGACCAATCGCGCTCCTCGCGCTTATTCTTCCAGTAACGTTCTTCCGAGCGAAATGGCGTGTCGTTTGTGGTGTCCACAGCTGGTGGACCGCGCGGTCGACGACCCATCGCGAGCGGTCAACGCCCAAAAGAGGCTCGAGCGCTTCGTTTCGCTCCCTCAGGCGGCAAATCGTCTCGCCAAATGCCTTGCAACAGTTTAGCTTCGAGACACAGACGAATGACTATGCAGCGTATAGGGCTCAGGGGTCACCGGGTGGCAAGCACAACCCTATTGCAACTCACGTGATCACCAGCCTTCTAGTTCACCAATATCAATTTGACTACTATTTCAGAACACAGGGACATTTTCCTTGAATTCTACAAAGAATTCTACAAAATCATGATCGTGTATATTTTCAAACCCGTACTCCGATACTGCCACCAAGCTCTCTTGGGATTATCTCTGCTCCTTACGAGATGGTGATCTTCTTTTGTTCGCTCTCCTTGGCTGCCTTTGGCATCTCAAGTTTGAGCACGCCATTGTCCATTGAAGCCTTGATCTCACTCTCTGACAGACCATTGGGAACGGCGATCGAGCGTGAGAAGGATCCAAATCTTCGCTCTTGCACCAGATAACCATCGTGCTTTTCTTCAGTGTTGGATGAGGTGGAGCCGCTGATAGTAAGAACGTTGTCATGCAGCGAGATATCCACGTTCTTCTTGTCAACTCCGGGCAGTTCGACCGTCAGCACGGTTTTATCACCAGTTTGAACCCTGAGCAGATAAGTATCCAGTCAGCCTTCGCGTCTCGTACTCAGATGGTATGTCAGTGATTGCGCTTACCAGTCCATGCGTGGTCGTACTGAGCCGTGTGATGCGCCACCCTTGTGTTGCAGCTCTTTCGTGTTTCTCTGACGTGAGCCTTGAGGACCCCAAAATTCGTCTTCAAGGTCGGCCAGTCGAGCCAGAGTAGAGTCGATAGGGAAGAAGAATGACATATTGTTTGTGATCTGTTGTGGAGCGCTGTATTGAAGGCTTTTTGTTGCCGATGTAGATTGCTTTGTGTTTGAGAATCGCTGGAGAGTCGAGGTAGATGTTGAAGAGAAAGAGAGGAACTGGATGAGTTGTCCCTTTTGAGCTGATCCGAGGTCGCGGACACGTCACAAACCTCGGCTTCCAGCCCATTCTTTCGAAGTCTTTGGAAAACTTTCGTCTCGAACAGAATGGAAACTTGAGGAAACTTGAAGAAAATTCGACGTCCCGAGGTCAGCTGACCGTTGGCGAGCGACACACCTGGCCAATATTCACGCGATAGTCGAAAAGACCGATGACAGCTTTAGATCGTCATCTGGCCAGAGGTGGTGCGAGCGACTGAGCGCGGCCCCTGTCTCGACTCGAAGCAGCGCTCGCGCTTGCACAGTTAATACGGATCGATGCAAGATAAGTAAAGTGCAACACTGAGCCTACTGTTCCCACCTTCGCACGCTATCGAGTGACACGTTGGACATCGCAGACAGCTAGCCAGCAACGACCGCCACAGTCTGAGAGCTGCACGGATCAGTTGAGACGGCTGACAGCCCCACTTTTTCAAACAACAAGGAAAGGTCACAACAATCACTTCTTCATCTATGGTGAGAAAACGATTGACGCTCTACTCAGCCCATCTTGACTTGTCTCGAAGTCTATGTCCGTATCTGTACAGCAAGAACAAAGGAAAAATCATCATTGCCGATGCTGCAGCCAGCAGACTACATCCGCCACCGATCGTCAATCGGTCAAAATAGACTCGACCGAAGAGAGGAAAGGATGAGCCGAACAAAGATCTGCATAATGCCGATCCTGCCAACAGAGACGCGGCGTATCGTGGATATCCGGTAACGAGATACATCGAAACGCACTGAAAAACGTCATAGATTGCCACTACGAACAATGCAGCGCCAATGACGGGTGCGATCCTGTGACAATGCACTACAAGTCAGAATCTGACGTTTTCCAGCAAGTTCAGTCGGCTGCAACATACCAATGTACGCTCTGTCTTGCTGTCCAGCCAAAGATGAGTAAAGATATTGGACCGAACGCTGACGCCCAAATCGACAATCGCAAGCGATCCTCGGGTCGAAAGTCGGCATCCGTTTCCGCTCGTGGTACAATGTAGCGGTATTGATACCACACATAGTGTGTATACGCAAGCGCGCCAGTGACGATGAAAGAAACGAAAGGAACGCCCGACAGCCCAAGATTGAATCCGTATATGTCCGTAAACACGAGCGGAAACGACTCAAACCATAGGTACAATTGCGCATAATACAGCCCCATCAGCACATGACTGAACAAAGCGGCTGGTTCCAGGCTCAGCTGAAAGGCTAGCTTGATTTGCGACCCCACAACCTTGAAAAGTGTTTCCCCTTTTTCCGATCTCAGTTCTGGCTCTGTCTTGAGCATGTCGTTTCCGGTGAGCTTCCGCAGTCTTCTAGCCCTCTTGATCAGAATTGTCTGTTCGTACGTCTCGGGCAGCAGCACGAATAAGAACAGCAGCGCGAAGCCTGATAACCAAAGGATCTCGAGGTTTGGCCACCGCCATCCCTTTGCCTGCGCAGCAAATCCGCCGAACACTGGGCCAAGCTGTCCAAAGTGTCTCAGGCGAGTCAGTCAACATTTGCAGAGCGACACTACCAGCCGCTCACAACGCCACCGAGCAGAGAGGGAAGCAGTCCCAACTCACGCATGGTCCCAGCACACCTCCCAGTGCCCAAACCCCTACTGCCGCTGGCAAATGTCGGCCTTCAAATATATCTGCCATGCTTCCGCCACCTGTTGCCAAGGCAGGCGAACCAACAAAGCCACTGAGGAAGCGGAAGACGAGGATGACCGAGATGTGAGGTGCCAGGATGATGGGAATTTGGAAAATGACAAACAGCAAAAGACCGATGATGTAAGGTGGATTTCTACCGATCGCCGCCATCTCTTGTATTGGTGCTAGAAACATTGGGCCGAGACCATCTGGAAATGGCATCAACCGCGTCAGTCAGGACGATTGCAACAAGTTCATGCCATACTCCAAACGGGCACATGAAGTGAATCTAGTCCCACAGACTTACATGCTAGGACGAACAAACTCAATCCTAGCGTCGCCACCACAAGGCTGACGCCGAATTCTTCCTGCAGGGATTCTATTCCCGGTACATATGTTGCTGATGCTTGATATATTGCAAACGTCAACAGTGCGATCTCGAAACCAACAAAAACTCGCTTGCTTCTCGACCAATTTCTAGCTCGGACAACTTTTGTTTAGCGGGTTGCTTGCCGAAGCGTCTGAATTCTGCGTCAAGCTTACAAGGGTCGATCGGGGTCGTCTTTGTCAAATTCGACCAGGAACTGATATTTCTTGACCGAGTCCACCTTCTCACCTAGGCACTGGTCGCTGTGGCCTTTCTTAGCCTCATGAGCTTGTTCATCTTCGACAAGAGTTTCTGAATCGTTCCTCGGTGTCGAGTTACGTGAGGTTTGGTGTGAGCTGTCACTGCCAACCTTGAGATATTTTGATGGGATGATGTAGTCCTTTCTTTGGTCCGCGTAAGGGAGAACCCTTCCTCTCGATGCCCAGTTGAGCAGTTGTCCCAGCGATGAATCGCGCACGATGTCGAGCATTGTCTGTTGCGAAGGCGACCGCCCTGCAGCCAGACTACTAAGAAACGCGACGCTCGTAGAAACGAACGGAGAGCGTCAAGGCATTACTCAAAGATGCAGCGGTGGTCGTTCGATGGCGCCTCTGGACTAAAATAAACGGACACTGGGCCCTAGTGGCCGTGACCTCATCGCGACTCCAGATCATTCGTCGCGTTTTCAGAGCGATTTGCATGCAACCCCCATCACGCGATCCTGTTACTATAGCAAAAAGAATGACTTCTGCTGAGCGCTGCTGCAATTGCGGGTTGTGATAGATGAAACGAGCAAAAAGTTTCCTTCGACCCGGGATCGAACCAGGGACCCCCAGATATATGAGGTAAGTGAATAGCCAATTACAGTCTGATGCTCTTCCAGCTGAGCTATCGAAGGCAGTAGCACATTCAAGTCAAAGTTGTATACAATTGCAAAATTTGACGAAAAGAAAATTCGCGAAAATTCTCAATTCGACACCTGAATTGACTTTATTTGAGTATTATTTGTCTGCTGAGAGCTCCGTGCAAGGATCAGAGCTCATTCGGGGCCTACCACAGCGAATATGCTTGAAAACTCGTCTTTACCGGAACAGAAGGTGCAGCAATGATACCCGGATCAATTCAGACCATCGAAATCGCTCATGTCTTGTATTGAGAGTGCTTACTGTGCCTTTTAGGTCTCACTGCACCCGCCGTAGCGTAGGAGAGATTGGGCAAGTCAAATGCGCTTCCCGTCTGCGCTGCATCTGTTGGCAAGGGTCCTTCTGTGCTCGAGTGTAAGCTTCAGCCTATCGAACGAAACGCGAGCGTGAAGGGCCTGTGAAACGATGTGGCTGCAGATCTTCGATCTGCCGGCTAGCCCATCTGTAGAAGTTGCGATCTCGCTTGTGCGTCATCGTCCCTTACAGCTTGGCCATTGCGGCGGGACTGACATCGGACACAGTATGCCCGGTACATGGAAGCTGATCGAGGAGGTGACGGATGCTGACAGCCAGGGCTCGCTAAAGCCAGAGTCAGATGCCTGATTGCGGCAACTTGCATCACTGACCATGCGTTCTGTAGCAGATCAAACCACAACGTCTTGTTCGAGCACTATTTGACAACGAAGGAGCAAGGAAGGGGTGAGCTTCAAGTGCATTGACGCCGTACATTGGTCATGGGGGGCCGAGTCGACCTTGCACGTGAAAAAGAGCGGACGAGCGATGCGCGATCGATTTGACGCTGATGAAGGTTGGGGCCCCGTTCTGCGAGAAGGAACACATTGGGACACCGAGATGCAGCACAGTTGCAAACGCGTCTCTCTACACGATCTTGCAAGCAATGTCATACAATGGCATCGCACACGATTCGTTGACAAGCTGATTCGCGCGAGATGGCTCGCCGAAAACTTCGATGACATCTCTGAAGTCAAGACGCCCGGCCGAGTTGCCCTTCGCGTCGCCGCTCTCGACCCTGTCCCTCCTGCCTCGCCACCTGTCTCGTTTCGACACGCTCCTTGTACATACACACTAGGCGTCGACTTGACAAGGCACCCAACTTGTCACCTGTACATACTCTAGGAGTCTGCCTACGCTTGAGTCAGCAACTATCAAAGGTCTGGCAGAGGAGTTGTCCACAAACACGCCGCGGACCAACGCTCGCTTGCCGCGTCTCCACAAAGCGACGACGACGCGTACGATACACGACCACAATCTCGCCGAGTGCAACTAGAACACGTCAACTTGGTCATGTGGCCATTCTTTGGCAATAGCGCCAGCAGAGCGGCGATTGAGACTCGACCAGACCGACCCGAGCAACTGGCACAAGCGCCTGAACCATCATCACAGTCAGTTGCTCTTCAATCTCATTGGCTCATTGTGACGGTGCCCTGGCATGCCAAACTACTTATAGAGCGCCTCGACACGCAAGCTCGTTTTCTCAAAGCGACTTGCACGTGCAACACCCTCAAAGCACCGTGTCGTGTTCGAGGCGGCAGCTGGCACGACACCAGGCACATTATGTGAAGTATTTGCTGACCAGACCGAGCCTCGTTCGCTTTGCTGCAGGTCGGAATCGGCTTCGCCAGCGTCGCCCAAGAATTGGGCCGCGTTGCTCGAGCCATTCAGCAAAGGTCAACTACCAACGAAAGCTCGCACAGAACCTCATGTCCCACAGAGAGAATCTGGTCCAATGACCTTGAATCACTTGTGGCAGTACCCCGCTTTCCTGGCCGTGCAAGGTGAGCTCGTTCTTCTATCGCGATTCGGTCGTCCATGCGCAGCTAGTCTTTCCCGCGACTTTGGGCCCCACTACCCGCTAGTCGATTTGCTTCGTGTTTGCCACCTGAGCAGACTCGACCGAGTAGTTGTCATGACATCCTTTTCACCGAGGAACATGCGACTTCTGCAGAGTACACGTGTGCATATCGTTCAAAGCACTGACCCGCTTCAATTCATTCTTGCAGGAGGCTCACTCGCTAAAGCTTTCATTCACCATCACGTCTATGGTCCTCCCAAGCCATCATGGGGCGTAGAACTGACATTGTTCACATCCATGCTGCGTGAAGTTGCTACCTACTCCCATCTGTCTTCAGTGCAAAGACTCAGGTGTGTCACCTTTTTCACGCGCAATTCTGACCCGCGGGGAATTTGCTGACCATTCACGCTCCTCCAACACAGATCCGTACTCGAGCTCGGATCATTGCTCCCTGCTCCAAAGGATGGCATCGTTACTCCAGTATCGTTCCGGGTCAAGAAGCGTGGTTTGCGAGGCTTCCTCGCCGAGGCCGACGCGGCTGAAGATGGCAAACGACAAATTACGGGCGAATGGGTCATCAATAAACGATTATGGCGCAAGATGCAAGCAGAGTTCGCTCTGCGCAAGACTGTACCTCAAAATGGTCGCGTAATTCTTTACCTGCATGGAGGTGAGTCACACTCTGTCCTTCTCGCAGCGTGCATGATGGTCGTCTGACGCTCGAACGAACGACGTGCAGGTGCCTACTTCGTCATGAGTACTCAGACTCATCGTTTCTTGACCATCTCGGTATCGCGATACACCGAGTCGCGAGTGTTTGGTTCGTCCTTCCACATCATTTGTCCGGAGGCTTTGACCGTGCTGACTTTGCGAGCGCAGCCATCAATTACCGATTGGCACCAGAGACCAGATTTCCTGGACAAGTGCACGATGCCGTATCAGCTTACATGCGATTAATTGTCGACCTCAAGATCCCACCAGAAAACATTGTGCGCCTTGCATTGCGCATGCGAATGTCACGGAAAGCTGACTCTCATCCTCTGGTCTACAGATTTTCGCCGGTGACAGTGCTGGAGGCGGTCTCGCTGTCGCAACGATGATGTATCTCCGCGATGAGGGCTATCCATTGCCCTCGGGAGCCGTCTTGATGAGTCCTTGGGTGGATCTAACAATGTGCGTGTCCGACTCGGATCAATCGAGCGCGCTATGTCGCTTGTCTGACTGACATTTGTCCATAACTCCAGGTCTTGCGAGAGTTGGTCGACCAACAGGGTCCGTCTTCTGATCGTGCAAAAAAAAAGTGTTGGCGTGAAGTGCACTGACACTTATTTGCCTCCTCGCGCACACAGGATTTCGACTACTTGCCTTCGCCAAAGTCAGACGATCCATTCAACCCAGTCAAATGTTTACTTGGCGACAACATTGCCAAGTGGGTCACACATCCATACGTGTCGCCATTGTTTGGCGACTTTCATCGACTACCCCCCATGCTCGTGCAAGCTGGTGATGCCGAGGTGTTGCGGGACGAGATCACGTTGCTGGCACACAAAGCTTCTTTAGCTGGTGTCGCCGTCGAGCACGAGATCTTTGAAGATTGCGTGCACGTGTTTCAGGCCTTCATTTTCTTGGAAGCATCGCGAAAAGCTCTTCAAAGTATGCGTCACTTTGTCAAACACAAGTTACCCAACCTCAACAAACCCAAGGACGTCGACTTTGCTCAAATCGATTCAGACATTGTTGCCGATGCTCATTCCGTCGATCAGCGAGGCAATGCTGAACCAACGTCTCTACCCTCATCACCTACGATGGAATCGGGAGAATTGCCACCGTCAGAGCAAGAATCGGACAGCGAGGTGGCTTCGGATCTGGATGTGACGACGACAACCACGACGGCAGCCACAACGAAGCCAAACAGCCGACCAGCGTCTCCACCGCTACAAGGACCCTCATCAGTCCAACATCACACTCAACGACCTATTTTGCGAGCGTATGCATCAGCTCGTGATTTGGGCATGTCGCAACGAAGAAGAGGAGATTCAAGCGCCTCTGCTACATCCCCAAAGTCGTTACCAGGAGATCTACCGGCTTCCTCTGCCTCGTCGACGACATCAAGTTCGAGACGGCACAGACATCACTCGTCTGCAGCCATTGCCATGTCAGCAAGAGAAGAGACTGCACCTCGAGACGTTCACGCTCGAAGCAGTTCTCATCCAGATTTGAAAGCTTTGATCGACGACTATACCACTCATGGACCAAGCAATCATACAAAGGTCTACGGACCAGTTGCTTCAGGTCATGCAACGCCCGAGTCAAGTGATGGTTCTGAAGACGCTTATCCACTGTATTCAGCGCCAACATCAAACAATTTCGATGATTCTGGAGCAGACGAGGAATTGACCTACGTTGCGCCGTCAATCTCGGCTCAGGACGTCGACCAAACGAGACGGAAGGACGAGCAAGATGACGACATTGATGCTCTGGCAGACGAAGAAGACATTATTGCCGTTGTTGGTAAACGGAAAACGAATCGAGCGCGAAGTCCAAGTTGGTTGAGTAACAAGTCTTCAACGAGCAAAGGCGCCACGAGCTCGAACGGTCACTAAAGCCTGAAGTCGTGTGATAGCTCGCGGATTAGCAAGTGGCATCACCACTTGTCGTGTATGTGCTGTATCTGATATTTCTTATGATATCTCGGACCTACTGTGATGCAATTATAGCACTTTAATTCCTCATTCTGGCAAGAAGTAGTCGCGACGATTGAAAGGCGTTTTCTGATTACAAGCGTCCTGCGCTACTTGTGCACAGCATTTGCAACTGTCGCACTTTGACGTTCCCTCTTTCTTCTCGCCCTGATTCGAGCGAGTTCCTTGTTTCGCTTCCGTTGCAAAGCTCTCCTCTTTTCGACTCCTGCTCCTCGTCGAGGTCCGACGACTTTTGTCAGAGTTGGTCTGAACGTTGTTGCAGCTTGTTGTTTCTTATTTTCACCGGCTGTTGCTTGTTTGCGTTTGGATTGAGCGACGTGTTTACGTTTCTTGCGCATCGAGGTCATTGACTGTTTGAGCAAGGTACCGAACGCGCTTGTGAATGACTCATAGTCATCTACTTTGACCTGAGGGAAGGAAGGACAAAGAACGCAAGCGTTAGATCGAATGGTGCCTCGAC